GCTTCTGTAGCAGGAAGTAAATGAACAGAGAGCTCTGAGACAGAGGTCAGAGGGTGAACATTGAAAATCAGGGTCTCAGGAAAAGGAAATCCAGAGCAGGAAGTACTGGAGTGATTAGAGTGAGGATCTGAAAAGCCTGGAGCGGAAGATATTTTTTTTATAATATAATAAATTGACCTTGAAAAGAAAGGACATCATTAAGGTGAAAAAGTTGGTGCCCAAAAATTTATCCTGTTATAAAAGGGAAGAGAAGAGAAAACAGAGTGTTGTAAACTTTTGAAAATTTAATTAGGAGTCTCAAATATTTCTCTTCTCCTTCCTCCATTAAACCTCCAAGTCCTGGAGTGACATGGTTGAATCTTAGTTTTCAGCAATGGGAAAAAATTCTAGCTGTCATGCTTTGCAGAGAAAACCTTAAACATTCAAAGCATAAAAAAATAGGATAGAAACCCAAACATTAACTTATATTTTTTAATAAATCTCATTAGTTGAATGTAATCTGTCTTGCAGTTTTTAACATAAGATATAGCATTAGTGAAAGCCTAGCATCTGCCTTCTAAGCAGACAGCAGCTAAAGATCCAAAAAAAGATCCCCAGCTGCTATCATAGTCATCATCAGCACATAATGACTGGCATGCTGGAATCGTGGGTAGCTCATTTATAGCTGCCACATATTCATATACTCTCTGTTTGACAGATTAACCCCTTCCCTGGAATGCAGGAGCGCACTCGGTGCTCCCTCCCCAGCATCCGCTCCCCCTGTGTGGGATCGCTCCAACAACGGCGCTCACAGCTCGGAAGGCTCAGGCCACACCCAAGGCCACAGCAAGCCCCCAGTCTGTCACAGACATTGCCCCGTGGAGACATCCAGGCAAATTTCTGTGTGACGTTCTGGCTCCCTGATCAACAGCCTGCTAGCTACTGGGTTGGAGGGTATTATTAAAAATTAAATAAAGATTTCAGGGTTTCTTCCTGGCGTATTTTCAAGCTTCCATGTGCATGAACAAGAAAATAAAGATTCGAGCTGGAATTTTTCCAGACATTTGCAGAATAATTACTCTCCAGAAATTCTCTTTATCTTCATCCTTGTGGATTTGAATGCATCCTTGAGAAATCTTTCCTTCCTTTCATATTCATCAGAAGAGAGGACATAACAGTTACAATTAGCATACTCAAACCAAGTTGTAGAGGTACCTACCCTACATTTAGTAATTTATCACTTTCCATAGATGCCACAACTGCCATCCATTTCTAACTTCCACTGTCCCAACAGAGTAGATCAGAAACAAACGGCAGATTTGCCAGATCAGTCAGAAGGGCTGTTGTAACTGCCAACAAATCCTTTGGCTGATTCAACCATTTTGTAATCATCTTACATTTCAGTGCACTGACTGTCAGCCAAAAAGCCTTCAGATCTGTGCCTCAGCCCCCACCACAAAAGAGCAAAATCTGAAGACCTGAACTATAATGGTGTTATCAACAGAGCTAGAGAAAGCATCCAAATTCTCACTTCTGTGCTAATAGCCCCACTCTGAAGAGAAATAAAAGCTGGGTTTGGGGGATGCCAAATGAAGTAGCCCTCAAAATAGATGGAGTATCTATTTATTCCACCACTTGGGGGAAGTGTAAAGAATGGAAATCTACAATAAAATTTACACATCCTTTCTTGCAGTTTTCACAGCTCTCCAGACATACCAGTAAACATTCATAGTCAATCCTATAAGAATCTATGAGGATTTAAAAAGCAGCATGAACTCGGAATATTCATTCACAAGATACTTCTGAAGCCATTTTGTCACACTGTTTCCTTTTAGTAACATAAGATTTTTAAAAGTACTTTGTATTTAAGAGATTTCTTACAGAAAGACCTACTAATTCGCTTTCCTCAACATTAATGCCCTCCTGAGAAGCACTGCTTACTCCAAAGAAATCTACAGTTCTTCCTCATAGCTTTTAACAGGCAGCACGTTCAAGTTACAGATTGTAACCTGCTCAGTTCTGAATGTTTGCATTGGTGGATGAACAACTGTGAAAACAAGTCCTAGTAATATTACTGAATTCGGCCTCAGAAAAAAATCACTTTCTAACAGGCATGTTCTGTGAAGAAGATAATGAAGTGACCTATGCAGCGCCTGACAGAATCTGGAACACCAACTATATCTCAGTCTAAAAGACTACATGACCTCAGTTTAATCCCCATTGTAGAGCCTTACCTAGTGTCTGAAGTTCCTTGCCACTCCTGCTGGAGATGCAGTTCCACCATCCCTGCCTTCAGCAGCTGGATGAAATGCAAGCCACACACGACACACAGACTGCATGTGCAGTTTGACTGCTGGTTTGTGACCACTACCTAAGGGAATGTGACTTCAAATTTCATGGTGTTGTGGCTGTCAAGGAAACTTTTCCTGCTCACATGAGAGAAGGGGCACTTCTCATTCAAAATAATTTTGTTTCATTTGAGGGAAAAATTAAATGTGTGAATGAAGAGTGCTCTATTCCTCCTTAGCTGCTAAATACAGGATTTAACCTAATAAACACTTCTCTAGGGTAAGGGCATCACCCTCTGTTGTTGGGGTTTTTCTCTTGTTTAAATCCACAGGGTTCCTCTTCCCCTTTTTCTCACGTACTCAAGACGAGAGAAGCTTCAGCGAGCACAGCTACCAGCATTCCAATTTATTCAGCAGCAACCCCTGTGGACTGCTAACAGCAGACTGCGATTCTGTTTGGATTACAAGGTGTAGATAAGTAATTCCATCCTTAATCTATCACTGTCAGTGCTGGTAGGGGAACAGAAGTCAGGCAGAGGAAAAGATAGATTGGGTAAAAAAAAATATATTGTGGGGTAAAAGGAAAAGAAATAGAGAGGATACAAATCCATTAAGAGTTCTGTGCACACATGCATGCAGCAGTAGGAAATGAGGGAATGGGATAAAGGAACAGGGTGTTAATATGAAAGCAGCAAGCAGGGAGGAGATATCCAGATTCCAAGCAAAACTTTTCAGTAGCAATGAAAGTCTCACTTCCTACATAATCTATGCCTTCCATTGCAGCGATCCCAGTGTAAAATGGCGAGGATGTTTGTGACCTCAGTAAATGCTGATGGATACCACCACACTGCAGCCACAATAAAAAAACCTCAAGTACATCATAATGGAGCCTCAAAGCCTTTGCTTGGAGACCTGTCAGTAAACTGGGGCAATATTAGAAATAGACAACAAAGGATAATGCAAAGTTTGCAAAAATGGAACGACACAGAGACAAGTGAATTTCTTGGAGGATGGAGGGGAAGGCAGAAAAGATGAAAGAGGAGGTAAGCTATTTAGACATAAGTGATGGAGAAGATCAATAGCCCACATCTGTTTTATGTGATAGAAGATTTGGGGATGGAAAACAGAGAACGTAATAATGAGACCTGGTACTGATTTTTCTTTTCCCTTTTAAATGAAGACTAGTGACTCCATCACTATATTTTACTACAAGTCATCATCTACCATTGAAGTCTGCCCACCCAGGCTAGTGAAGTCCTCCTCATGTTTTTATCACATGAACATAAATGTTCTACCCAATGTTATTTTATGGGTATATAGGAAGCTCCTTTGATTCAGCTATAAGTTCTCATTGATTTTATGCTATTTGCTTGCCTGGTTAGACATGTCACAGGCAATTTATCCCAGGAAAAGTAAAAGAGCTGCCTTCTAAGCAATCACATTAAAATAAAATGTTGACATTAAAATAAAACCTTGAAAACTTTATTTTCGACCCTTGGAATGTCCAATGTTATAACCCAAATACATATGCAGTATTGATTGTTCTGTTCTTCCCAAGCTTATGCACTGCTTTCCACAGTAAGCACATACTCTGTTCCAGAATAAACAATCCAAAGTGCAGCCAAGCAAAGTTTACACCCTAAAAAATGTATGGATTGCTATTAATGGTATGCTTTCTGGTGGCACAGATATTTCAAAGAGGTTGTAAGGAGGGGAAAACCCAGGAAGCTTCGTGGTCCCCTTTTTCAGCCCCCACTCAAAACCCACTCACTTGGACTGCTTAAGGAAGACAGAAAATCAGTTCAAAGAATAAAATAGGGCATATAAATAGTTTAATAGTAGCCAAGGGAGAGTTTAGCAGAAATATTTTTAAAATATGAAAAAACAAATAAAGCAATTAACCACTGCAGAAGGAAAGGCTGCAAATATTAACAAAGAGGGGGGGAAAAAAGAGAAAGTAGCTAAGAAATCAGCAAGCAAGAGAACTTTCTCCTTGAGTACATTAACACGGCCAAACACAAGGAAAAGTGTGCACTGGAGCAAATGCGAGCGGATCAGCTGCTGGCCCGGGCAGGGAAGAAGCGCAGCTCCACTCCCTCAGGATGAGAAGGCCTCGCAAAGCGCCTGTTCCCGCCGTGCTGACCCGGCTTTGTGGCCGACTTTGAAGCCGCCGCAGCACAACTCCGCGCCCGCAGCAGCTCCCGCAGCCGCCGGGCCCTGAGGGCAGCGGGACCCAAATGGCGGCGCCGGCGCGAGGGACGCGCAGGCCGGGCCAGGCCGCGCGCCCGCCGCGCGCATGCGCAGCAAGGCGCGCGGAGCCGCGGCGCTTCCGCACGGAACGTCGCGTTCCGCGGGCTCGCGGGCAGGAAGTGGAGGCTTCTCGCCCCGCTTGCCCGCCTTGGGGCTGCCGCAGCTCCTTGCCCGTAACTTGTGTCATTTTCTGCCGTGCGCCCAGAGGGTCCTTTCAGCCCCGTGGCGCAGGCCCTCTATGTTCTGCCCAATAACAAGCCGGCTCTCGATGACATCGTTAGTTGCCAGGCAGAACTCCCCTTCGCGTCTCCCGTGCCGCCGCGGCGCCACCGGGAGGGGCGGCGTGTTTGATTTGATTGACAGCACGCGTAGTGGGCGGGGAGAAACAAGAGAACAAATAATAACTGTGGATGGCCTTGATGAGCAGGGCCCGCAGCCAATGGGGACGGGCGGGCGGTCGCTCGGTTGCCAGGGCCGCGCGGTTGCCACGGGCTCGGCTCGGCGTGGTGGCGGCCCCCGCTGCCGCCCGCCGTGGCTGCCGCCGCCTGCCCCGGCCCGGCGCGATGGTGAAGCTCGCTGCCAAGTGCCTGCTGGCAGGTGAGTCCGGCCCGCCCGCTCCCATCCGCCCCGCTGCCCACACGGGACTAGAGCGGGCGCCGTGGGGTCGGGCGAGGCCGGCAGCGGAGGCGGCCCGGCTTCCCACAGCCGCTCGTCGAGGGGCCGCCCCGCCAGAGAAGAGGTGGGGAAAGAGGCCATGGGAGAGAAGGGAAGACCTCGGCTGCCTGGGGACGGGAGCAGTGAAGTCGTGTCCGATATTACCACTCGGTACCCGCCCCCGCCCACCACGTGGAGTCGAGCAGTGCCCAGGGAGGGTGTGAGGTGTAGTTGGATCGGCTAAAATCCAAGGATAGGATCTGAAAAAGAGGGAAAAAAACCCAAATAGAAACCAAAAGGAGTATTTCTGCATGGTGGAAAGGTGGGCGCAGAGATTGGAGAAGGCGAGAAGGGAGCAAGGTAGGCAGCTGAATCCTGCCTCATATGTGAGTCTTGCTTTGGGCTGATGTGAAAACTTCATGGCAGAAATTAGGATGATTCTGAGAGTACGATAGAAAGGTAAAGCCTAAACAAAGAGGAGAAGATTGAGCACTTCACAGTGGCATCTTTTTCTCCAAATAATTTAGAGGCTAACCTGAGAAGAAAAATGAGGTGAAGACACCACTTTATTTAGTCAGGATGGATTATGGAGGTGAGGAAAGTGAGTACAGCTGGCTGTTAACACTTTGTGAAAAAGGTTTTTATTTTTCCCCCTCCCTCTACATTGAAGCTCTGTGCAGCCTCAGCCAAAAGCACAAATCCATAAAACCTTTGTGTGCAGTCAACTCCCAGGTTTAACTATGTGTTCAAAATTATTTCATCCAGAATAAAATGTTTGCCTTTTTTAACCTCAGAAGCAGCTGGCCATCAGCTCACACAAAGACATATGTGGTCTTTGGCAAAGGCAAGAGAATTGATCTCCCTTGTGGCTCTACTGCTGTGAACAGCATGAATATCTTGCCCGTCTTCTATGCTTGAAACATAGGCATCATTTCCAATTTGGAAGTGTCCTGCTCCCAGTATACTGTCCAGTTTGGCAAAGGCCAATTCCATGACCATTTTAAAATCACATAAGTTTTCTTTGGATGACCTGTTTATGTCCTTAATCCTTATTGGGTCTGGAGCAGCCTTTTCAATTTTATTCACAGCACAAAGAACAGGAATGTCCTATCCCATATGTTATTCTTCTGTGTGCTACAATAATATCCATGTATTATTAAAAAAATAAATTAGTAAAGCAGACCAGGAAAAATAGATTCTCTGTTGCAGAAAAAATCCACTATAGTGAAAGTGACCTAAGATATGAGGAAACAAAAAAAATGCAATTACATAAATAGGAGCAAACCTATCAGAAATGAAACCGGGAGCTCTTGTAGACCTAAGGAAATGGTTATGAAGAGCCAGTGACACAAAACTGGGAGCTACACCAAGGTCAAAAAGAACGGGAAAAGAGCTCTTATTAGCAAAACAGAGATTATTGAATTGACAATAGAAGATAATTCCTGTGTTATCTCAAGGGTCATTTACAGGCATAAAATAAAAAGAATTGTTGTCTAAGCTTACTATGGAGACACTACACAAAGGTTTTCATTGTAGAGAGACAGCTGGCAGTAGCAGGCATTTTTGAAGGATTCTAGAGATTCTGGCAGAATAACAGAAATATGGATAGAATATATACTGTGAGATGCACTACTGGCACAAGAGACTAAACTGAAAAGGGCAAGGAAACTTACTCTGAGGAAGTGTACTGGTGTGATGGGCTAAAGAGGATGACAAAGAATAAAAAGAGGGAAAGAACACCTGGGGCTGTCAAGTGAAAGAAAGGCAACACATTAATTAAGAATTTGTGCTGGCTGATGCCTGCACAGTTTGGAGCAATGTGTGCCTCTCTATGTCATTTTACAAAGACAGATCTAATTGTCTATTGAAATACAGAATAGCTTCCACTCAGAACAGAGTGTTGTCTTCCGCACAGGCTTGAACTGATCAGAGAACAAGCAAGCTGACTTACCAGATTTTCCTGTCTAAATATTATGAGCCCAACTCAGCTCAAAGTAAGCAAGCATGCTAAAAATGTTTAAATAAAAACTACTTTGGTTAATGCATCTAGGGGTAATTGTCACTATCCAAAACACCCTTCCTTCTCTGTAATAGTATGTGAGCAGAGAGCTTTACCAATTTCCTTCAAAACACCATTAAGAAGCTGTAATGGAGTCAAAAATACACCCATTAACAACTTAATGTAAAATACTTCCTTTCTGGCTTTATTTATTAACAACATAATGTGAAAGACTTGTATTCCAGGCTTGGCTGTTATGAGTATACCTTTGAGGGTAAAGCTTGAACCACTGAGGTATTTAATTACTGGTTCCTGTCCTTTTAACTATCCAAGCTAGTGAGACATTATGTGGAGAAATTATAAGGTCTTCGGAAGCATTAAGTCTTTGTTTAGAAAAGGTTATGATTTATGATCTTTTTCATGTAGTAATATGGGCATATGTAAGTTCTGCAGAGCCTGAGGAAATGGCCTGAAGTTGTGTCAGAGGAGGTTTAGGTTGGATGTTAGAAAAAGGTTCTTCACCCAGAGGATGACTGGGCTCTGTAATAGCTCCCCAGGGAAGTGGTCACAGCACCAAGCCCGACAGAGTTCAAGAAGCGTTTGGGCAATATTCTTGGGAATGGTCCTGTGCAGGGCCATGAGTTGGACCCAGTGATCCTTGTAGGTCCCCTCTAACTCAGCATATTCTGTTCTGTGATCCTGTGATTGCTTTGGATCTCACAGAGTTTTGTAAGAGCAGGCCAAAGCAGGGAGCTGTCAGGTTTGCCTGAAGTGTTGTGCAAGCCATTTCAGAAAACCTTGGCTCTAGAAGAGCAAAAACCAAATCCCCTTGCTTTTCCTTCTATTCAGGGATGAATCAGCAGGCTCTTCTCTCCAGCCATGTGCTTTCTCTCTGACATTTGCTTCTGTTATGCCGAGGATGCGACTAATGAGCCACCAGCAGCCCTTGAGTCAGCAAGAGTTGCTCTCTTAGCAGGGTCAGCAAGAAGAGTTCATTGAGAAGTTATATACTGAGACAAAGCTTAAGCAGCTTTGTCTCAGTATATAACAAGGATTTGAGTCTGGGGAGATGGATAACCTAAGGAGAGAAAATAGCATCCTAGGAAGCCCAGTCCCTTTTCACATTGCAATTTTCTCTACATGATAAGATATCTGGGAAATTTTAATTCCTAGGTAAGGGCTGTGGAGTAAGCATGAATTTTAGAATGAGCAGCAGTTCCACCCTAATCTGGCATTTCTTTGCTGCTGTGCAGAGGTCAGAAATCATATGTCAGCCACCAGTATGCATAATGGCAATATTAATTTCCTCCATGTGGGTATTACCTTTTAGATGGTTTTGTGCTTCATGTGACAGTTAAATTGACTGTATTCAGAGTTAGAGCATCTGGGCTCTTACAACGTATGATAGTATCAGAACTGAGGAAAAATAAGATTGTCTAGTATGAAACAAAAATACTTTATGTTTTGGGTTTTGCAGGAGATCCAGCTGTAGGTAAGAGTGCTTTAGCCCAGATGTTCCGCAGTGATGGGGCTCATTTTCAGAAGAACTACACACTGGTAAGCATACAACAGGCTCAGACTGTTGTCTAAATTTTTTTTGAAGATGAGTGGGAAAAGTGAGCGGCCTAGAACAAAAAAAATATGATTTTAAGTTAAGGTGTTCAAGGTGAGATCTTAGAGGGTTTCCTTTCTTACAGCCTAGATACTGAAGAGAAAACATTTAACATTCTGTAAATCTGTATTATGTAGGTGCTGATGTTGAAACTTAAGGCAGAATAATTTAGTTAATCTTGTGATTTTCCTGCTGAACCAATGTTTTCACAAGGTTTTGTGGTCTTAGAGAGCTCCCCCCTTTAGGGACTACTCTATGAAAAAGCACTGCTGAAGGAAAAAGCTTTTAATTCCAACTATTAAATGTGGATGTGGACAGTGTGCTTATCACTGTGCAAACACCAAGATGTGCTGCAAAGCCCCAAGATAATTATAATCTACAGAAACTGTTCCCAGATGAAGAGGATACAGTTTGCAGTCTTTCAGTGTAAGAATCAATGGTGATGACTAATCAGAAGCAGGATAAAAATAAAAGTAAATATAAGTAAAGTAAAAAAAGGAAAATATGAGTGTAGAGAAAAAAAAAACCTAAAATATGTTTATTCATTGAAATAAAGATGGAAACCAGAATTTAAGGATAGAAATAGAACAAACAAATGAGCTACAAAGCAGAATGAGATAAAAGGTGGAAGAAGCACAAATAATCTCAGTCCCATATGTTAGCTCATCACATGGTTAGTGCAAAATGTTCTAAGGCGTGTGTTAGAGCAGCAGTGTGAGAGTGAACATAGACCTGCAGACTTCAGCTAATACTCTGTACATAAGCGAATCTCTTTGGTTCTCCTTTTTCCCCAGCTGAGCAAATCTATGAGTCTTTGACATATTGGTGAGATTAGGTTACCAGAGCTAGGAGGAGTATTGCTGAGTTTCCAGCGGTCTGTGTTTGATGAAATTGTAATGATTCACAAGAATTGCCTCAATCCAATGCACGGTTGGTATGCAGTTGGACTGACTCTTAAAAACTCTCCTGATCCTCATTTTCCTGATTCTTCTTGACAGACAGCAGGCATAGAACTGTTGGTGAAGGCTGTATCAGTTCCAGAGACAAGTGATAGTGTGGTGAGTTTTTCTGTGACATAAATTGGGTCAGAAAGAGACATCCGGAGCTCAAGCCTCACATGACTCTCATTCTGGTGGAAGATCACTGTATACATGTTCATAGGGCAATTAAGTTGCATTAAGGAAATTAGGCTGATCATGTATAATTGCTGATACTCCAGGGTTAGTTTAGTCTTAAAAATATAATTTTCATATACTTCTATCTAAAGCAACATTTTAAACCAAAGTTATTGCCAGCTTTGTTGAGAATCTATTCTATTCTTTAGGGCACTCAGATTTAGTTCATGATTCTTGGAACTACAAAAGCCAAAGCTCAACTGTTATTTCTCCTTAATGCCCTATACTCCCATTAATAGAATGTATATAATTTTGCATAAATAGTAGAGATTACTGTCCCATTCCACATATTCTGTTTGCAGTAGGGATGGAAACTAGACTTGGGACCTTGGAAGTAACTCTTTTACAGCTTATACTTGAAATATGGCTATTTATTTTCTCATACTATCTGCAGTTTTCTCAGTGTGGGGAGTTTGATCCTTAGAGACATGACACTACTGTACTGAATAGAATGTTGGAGTTACAAGTTGCAGTATTTACTTCCCAAACCTTTCCCTACACAGCATTTTTCTTGGCAAGAGCCTTCTTTCTGTTTCCGCTTTCAGGAATTCTTCATTTTTGACTCTGCAGGAAAAGATCTATTTTCTGAAATGCTGGAGAAACTGGTAAGTCTTATGTAACAGTCCTCTTGTTCCAAAGAAGTGCTTTTGCTTTGAAGATCTGAGCTCCCCAGTCTGGCAGATGTAGCAAACTTTGTCTTTAGTGTAAATGGGAGCAATTACCTCAGTTGCCAATGCATCCTGTTCTACCTCTCTAAAACTTGTGTAAGTACTAGTAGAAATACTTTCCAGAGAAAGGAAAGGAGATAGGCAGTTTTCTTACAAAAGAAATAGGAAACTTTAACTGAGAATTTCTGTGTACTATTGTTTAAAGGTACTTCTATTTCTTAGAAAAATATCTGTTTTGCTGCAACTTCAACAGCCAGATGGATTTTTTTAGTGTTACACTGATGTGTTTGATCCAACAGGATTCATTCTTGTCCTTGAGCATAATCCTGCCCTTGGATTTTTTCCTTCACGTATTTGTGACCTTCCCTGTACAGTTCTCTACTGTATTATCTCATTTTGAGAAGCAGAATTAGTTAATTGATGTAAGCTTTCATAAGATGTCTAAGTCAACCTAATGGTTCGTTGTCTACGAAAGCGATTCCACTTTTACACTTGCACTAGACCTGGTTTGCAAGGGTCTTCTCTAGAAGCTGGCTCAGCTTCTCAAACTGAGAAAGAAAGAAGAAAAGAAGGAAGAAAACCTTTCTACTTTTTTCCTAGGATTAGTTTTGTGCTGATTCAGCATGAAAAATCAGCTTCCCTGGGGATCAGAAGAGTTCCAGAGCTGATACAAGTAAGGGGGCAGGGCTGCACAGACAGGACTAGGGAGGAAAGGAGTACCACCTCTACCAATGTCAGTGATTTAGCTGGCTCAATTGAAATGTGAAACCTCAGCCAGGGCAAAAGATTCCTGGGTGTTAGGCTTTTTATTTTCATCTTAGCAGCTGCATTTGCCACATTTACAGCCTGGCTGTTGACCACATTGGTTTCATTCGAGCTGACAGTGTTCCTTTCTTGCTGTGCAGTGGGAGCAACCCAACGTCCTGTGCCTTGTGTATGATGTCACTAATGAGCAATCCTTCAACAACTGTAACAAATGGTTGGAAAAGCTGAGGGCTCAAGCAGTTGGGATGCACATCCCAGGTAAAAATGGGTGTGATTCTTGTTATCTACTCCCCTCTTGCTTCTGGTGAGCTGTGGAACAGAGCATTTATTTAAAGTCAGGGACAGACATGACTTCCTCCAACTCCTTTGCTTTTATCAAAAAGCAGATAAGGCTTGAATATGTTTCCTTTTTAGAATCTTTTTTAGGTAGTTATAGACTATTCACCACGCCTACAACTTCTTCAGTTACTTCTACAGATGTTCCAGTATTTATGGCTTACAAGTCAGCATTGATGAGCTGGGTTTTTTCTATCCTTTCATGTCTTTTTTTTCTGTAGGTGTCTTAGTGGGGAATAAAACAGACCTAGTTGATCGTCGAGTTGTGGAGCAGGAACAAGCACAGAAGTGGGCTGAGAAACATGGCCTGGAATACTGTGAGATGTCAGTGGTGAGTATCTGCTCCTTTCACCATCTGTGCAAGGGGGTGTTTGTAAAGTTATCTTCTCTTTCAGGCAGAGAAAGATAACTGGGGACTCTTTTCACCTTGTTTGTCATCTAACTCAGTTTTAATCCTTCTGTGGTGAAACAGAGCACAAATAGTCAAATGCTTATTCCATCTGCAATTGACAACTTTCTTATTTCTTTACAGAAGGAAATGAAAAATTTTGAGGCCCCTTTCCACATCCTGGCAAAGTTATTCCACCAACTGTACAAAGAGAAAGTGGAAACTTTTCATTCACTAGCCTGACTGGTATGATTTATTGATCCTCTAAGCTTCTTCTAGTATTGAGAATCCTGCTGGACTGAATACAGAAAGAATTAAAAATATGAGCTATTTGCTACTTCATGGTCATCCTCTGGTAATTCAAAATAAACTAGAAATAGGCAAGTAGAACGACACTCTTCTGAAGCTGCTACCTCAGCATTCCTTTCATGTCCTCTAACTTGGTTCTCTGCTCATTGAAAGTCGGCTAGGTTTGAGGAGGCGGAGAGTAAAAGGGGAGGATAGAATGGAAATTGCCAGCTCTTTGCTTTAATATCTTTTTGTCTGAACAGACTTCCTGCTGTTACAAGCAGGGATTTAGAGGTTTGGAAAAGGAGAGAGGAAGCTGACAGGATGTTTTTCGACTCTAAGCCAGCCTTTATACATACACTGCAGGGCAGGACCGATTTGGCCCTACCCCTTGAAAAGCATTTTCAGAAGGAGGCTTATTGCCTTAAAATCAACATCTGGAGACTGAGATGTGTGGAGGCAGAGATGGATTTAGGTGTGTTTCCAGGAGTGCCAGAGTTGGAGGCAAATTTGAACAGTGTTGCCTTTATCAGTTGTAGGATTGATATGCTAGTGACTAATGCATGTTTCTAATTTTCAGGATCTGGTTTTTTCCTTCGGCATGCCTCACTGTCCCTGCCTGGTGGGAGCTGTGTCGCGTCCAGCCGCTGTCACTTGGTGACGCAGTGCCCTCTGCTGGTCCCAGGTCACAGGAGTTCTCCAGAGGCTGCCGCCTCCCTTGAAGTGAGCAGAAAAGGCATCCTGCAGGCACGTCCAAATTGGCTTAGCTGCAAAATGGAGTCAAATTACAAGAATACCTTTTCTATTCTAAAGATTAATCTAAAGCTTACAAAAAATTACCTTTTCTTCTTCATGTCTTTATCATCTTATGTATTGTTGTGTCATTTTTGTCAGTTGAATTTGGCAATATCATTCTGATTAAGGTTCAGTTTTCAATCTCCAAATCAGAGTCCTCTTATTAAAGTCTCTCTGCTTGTCATTGAATTTCAGATAAAAGACCACGGTTCTGATGTTGCTAGTGGAAACAGGACTAAGGAAATGAAAGACAGCCTGGCTAAGTTACTCTGACTCAGCTGTGTCTGGCTAGAAGTTTCATATTAAAAAGGGTAAAAGCCTAGAGAGATTTGCTGTATTGTGTGGAGTACTGATGTTACATGTGTAAGAATCTTTGCTAATGCAGTATACAGAAGCATCTGTGTTAAGGTACTGCCTTGTAACTGAGCCTAACACCAAAAGTTTCAAAAATTTAACCTATGGTAGACTCCCTTGGCCTAGGGAAGCTGAGTTTTGTAGAGACTAAGCACTGAGTGATTTTTCAGGCAGTCTTTTCAGGAATCTGTGTTTCAAGACTTTTATACGTGTGGTTTATAAGCATTTTTATGCCCAGTGCTAGGAAAAGTACATTAAATTGAATGTAAGAAATATGGCTGCAGATGTTGTAGCAGACTTTATGAAGCACTTCAAGGATCTGGAGAAGCACTGGCCTCATTTCACTGGCAACAGTGTGTTGATGCTGAGAACTCGCTAGGGAGCATGAATACCAGTTAAAGAGGATGAGTAGGAGCTCAATCTACAAGAAGTGAAAACAAGAGATTCTTTTGCTAGAAGCCAACTCAAAAATGACAGAACAAGCTGGGAAAGCTCCTGCTTTCTTCAAAGAAGGAAGGACTCCTCCATGAACATAGGGTAACTAGAAGATTCACTCTTTTTGCGTTGGATTAGCATTCCTGGCATTTGCATCTTGTATGGGTTGTCATGTTAATCCTGGGTGTTTTATGTTAATTTACATAGGCTGTTTAGACCCTTGCTTGCAGGTCCTGGTATCTGCACCTTTTATTCTTACTCTGACTAGTAAGAATAAAAGCTATTTTGGATGCTGTGCTGATCCAGGTAAAGAACTAAAGAAGGTTTGTTTTTATTTGGTATCTCATTTCCCTCTAGTTCAATTGATGATGTGATCACAAAAACAAGACACATATTTTTTCATATTGAAAATAACATACCAGATGTGTATGTCACATGTGACATGGTGTATCTAGGGGAAACAATGCCTTGGGAATAGGAAATAAAATTAATTCTTTGCAATCTTTAACCAGGGAGTCTATCTGCACCTGAAGGACCTCCCATAACTTCAAGTAAACACTCGAAATTCACCAGTAAGATGAAGATTGGTGAATGCTGCTTTATAAAATAAATGCAAAAGCTGGAGGAGCTCATTAAGGTACTGCTTGCAATGGTGATCTGTGATTTATAGGGAAGCTGCTTTTGAGAAGTTAGTGAAGAAAAATGCAGCCCATGCAGGGAAAGATCTATTGCCTGAGAGAGGAAATGTATGATCTAATTAGCTAACAGTAGGAGTTCACCCACTGCCCCTTTCCCTCTTCCACAGGCCACAACCACAATGAGGAAAGAAGTTGTGTCTAAAGCACTTTGTCAAATTTGCTTTTTACAGGACTATTTCAAGCACTAATGTGGACACAGTTTAATGTCCTTCAAAATAGTGTTTTTGACAATAACAATCTCAACCCTTTCAAATCTATTTTAACAGCATAATATATTGCCCTTCCTGGCTAATGTGCTGTATAATACCAGCCTGATGCAAGTAGTGGTTGTTGCTATTTTCCTGGCTTAATTGTGACCTTGGTTGTAGAGGCTAGGAGAGAAGAGGGTGTAGAAAACATGGGTGCCAAAGATAGGAAGATTGTGGGAAATAGTTTTGTCTCTGTGTGAAGGAGTTCAGGGTGGTGAGTAAGTCAGCTTGACCAGCAGGATGAGTAAGAATCTGGAGCCATTATTAAGTTTCTCCTACCTGTTTACTAACTTTGACAGTCACATCTGTAGAGTGAGGATGTGTGTTTGCTGCTTATAGGCTTAGCATCAGTCTGAATTACAGATGCTGTGGAGAACAGTGGGAGGAAGACAGAAAGCCTGTCTGCTGACCAGGAAGCTTGTTGTCTTCTTACAGCTCCCTTGCTTTGTCCAGCTGTGCAGTGCTGCAGGTGCTCAGCATGAGTGTTGCAACACAGAAATACCCAGCTCAACCAGAACTGAAATTTCAAAAGAAGGCGAAGGAAACAAACAGGCCTTTAACTCGTATAGATATGTAGACCTTTTTTCTCCTTGCTTGTTTGATTAGACAAAACCATTTCTTTCCTCCCTGGAGTCCCTCCTTACCTTTTCTTTGGTCCTCATGGGTCTGCACAGAATCTCTGTTATACTTGTGCCCTGCTTTACTTAGCTTGATACATCACCAGCTGATTTTTTTTTTATCCTTCTAATTTCTGCTTTATCTATTCCCAAGGCTGCAAGACATTTCTTCTTAGATTGATAGACAAAAGGAAACAAAAGTGGAATTTTTAGTCAAATTGTTTTGGAAGAAAAAGCCTTAAGAAGCTGTCTGACATTCTGAAATTTTACTGGAAATTCATTTGTGTAAAGTTGTCATGTTAAAGGTGGTTTAATGGTTTTGTTTTGTCTTGCCAGACATAGTCTACTGCGGAGTGAAATTCAGGATGTAAAATTCCAGAAAGGTCAGGTTTTATTGTGGGAATTAATAGGAGTTTCAAAGCTGATCACACTGTGATAAGATCTGTTAAGTCTTAACAATGGAGTGGTCACTGCTGTTCATAATGAAGCATTAAATGTACTGAAATGGGGCTGTCAAAACAGTTTCTTCTAGAGATTTGTTCATTTTAAAGACTTTAAACTTAAGAAAGGACATCTTTTAAAAGACTGATCTGATAAATGACACCATTTGGACCAGAGTTATTTCTGATATAACTTCAGTGACTTGAAGAGCTGGATTTAGTCTTTTATGCCAATTGACTCCCCTGGGTAAGCTTCATTTCTTTACCCACTATACATCTTGGACCGATCTGACCTGATAGCAAAAGACACATGATGTTGTTGAAAATGAAATACTGCCTTGGGGCAGAAGGATAAACTGTGTGGCCTCCTGAGGTCCTCCCAGCAATACTTTCTATAATTCTATTAGATTAAGTGAGGATAGAAGTAGCATGGAAAGCACAAAACGGGCTAAGTCATAAACCAGTAATTAAACTGGGAGCTGGGCAGAAAATGTACAATCTATCCCAATTAAGAGCTATATCTCAAGAGAAACTGGGAGCCTGACGCAGGTGCTGACAGCAGGGAAAACACTGCATTTCTGTTCTGGAGGCAGCAACTGCTTTCTGCTGGTGCTTATGCAGATCTGTGGGGGTCCTTACGCAACTCAAGGCTGTGCTCTGTTTTTAATAATTCCTGTATCTCTGATGTTCAGGTGGCTGTTGCTTGCAGTTCTGGTCTCATCTACCTGCACAAAGTCAGCAGCGTGATGTCAGATTATTTGCTAGTGGCAGGAGTTCTTTATTTGCTAGTGGCAGATTATTTGCTAGGGGCAGGATTATTTGCTAGTGCTAGTCCCCTGTGTAATGGGACCCCTCTCTCCCCATGCATTCTCTGTCCTTATCCTATCTCATATCTGCTCCTTGGTGGACAATATCCACCTCTGCTTGCTCTTAACAAGTAGTTTTTCCATCTTGCAGATGGTATTCTGTGAAACCTGGGTTTGAGGGACTTCTCAGACCTTCTGCAGCAAAGGTGGAGTCAGAGCAGGAGCCCTTCAAGGCCTCACATCTCTTTTGGCCTAGGGGCACATCATCACTGTACTTCTCTGTCCTATTTCCTCCTCCTGCTGTCATTTTGCCTGGAGAACAATGTCTTCTGTGCCAGTTGCCCTTGGCTCTGTTGACCCGGAACAACAATGCTTGGGGGAGGGAAGAAGAAGAGAGCTACTCAGTCTTGAGTCTTTTCAGGGCTTTTTAGCTGTTATGACTCCCTGTCAAAGTCACCTGAGAGATGGGGATGTTGATCAGTCTAGGGTGTAATTTCCTGGCAGGAGACCACCAACTGAGTCCTGGCAGCCTCATTTGGGCTCTTCAGAGCTTGCTGCAGTGTAACTTTGTTACAGACACTGGCTGTTCTTCTAACCTGGGGTTTTGGTGGAAATTTTTGATAGTTTTTTTACTCTTTGGAGGTCTTTTGTTTTTCTGTCATGGCTTCATATATCTCCTCCCCTAGACATGTTTGTCAGGAGAAGCTTAGAGAATTGCTCCCTTTCCCGGTCTCTGAGATTTAATCTGGGAATATTTAAAAGGGAAATGTGACAGACCCTACATGTCAAGCTGGGGTCAGGGATGGGGTCAGTTTGATGAGTTTCCCTCCAGCCAGATATACATCAACTGGAGATATGTGGAGCCTGTGATCTTTCTGCACAAGTACTAGAAAAATAGCCAATATGAGGGCTGCAAGTTAGGGACTGTGAGGAAAAGGGTAAAAAGGCAAAAGTGATCAACTTCTGTGTCCCAGACAGGGGAAAAGGCCTGAGCACTAGGGGAACAGGAATATGTAGGAAATATGTAGGTCTGTATTCTTTCATGAAGAGCCCAAAGGATTTGCTGAGACAGATTGCGAGGGTAGGATTTAGGGATGGGAGAACCTGAGGCTTCTGTCTTTTAGAATGCTGTATGAAAATAAAATGGGAAGAAAAGTAATTTTTGCATGAGCCACTGAGGGAAAATGAAGATACAGGGTAGAACTGGATGACCTTGCAAGTGGAAGGGCAAGTGATAAGAATAAATAACTGAAAGGAGATCTTCAGGGCCAAGCTCTCAGGGCCAAGGGCAGACGGGAATTCAGAGCCATGATGAGGAAGGTCACTGGTAGCCATCAATTTAGGTTTAAGATGCAGTACCCGCATTGGAACAAGGCAGGAAGAATTAAAGTCTGTGTGACAGGGTTGACACTGGAAATTGAAAGGGCAGTCGCAAGGATCCAGAATGATAAACTTAGGAGTAGTGTGGGGAGATAAGAACAGCAAGCTGTGATGCTGTGAGCAGCAGTGGCTGGAGACAGCATACCCAGGTGAGACCAGAAAAGATCGAGTAGGTATTCTGAGGACACTATCAGACTATGAGGATGGAAGAGTGTGAAGAGATGTTGGAAATTCATATTTGAGTACAGCTCTTCTGAGGGAATTTCTGAGTGAAGATATATAGATACCTACAATTGGTACCCATACATGTTCATAAACACATTTAAAACACATATTAATTCCAGTGCTATATTCTCTATTTTCTTTTGCCAAAAATTACCATGACCTCTCTATTCCAGTGCTATATTCTCTATCTCTATTTTCTTTTGCCAAAAATTGCCATGACCTTTCTGCTTGTTGGTGATTTTTTTTTTTTTTTTTTTTTGGGGGGGGGGGGAGGAGGGGGAGAGTAGGCAACAACACATACATTTATGCCAAATTGTGATGCTCCATCATGAATACATTCAGCAAACGGAAAGAGAACCTGCACCTTCACCTGACCAGGCAGGAATATTTTCTGTGTTGTTTTCTCTTCTCTGCTTTTGGAAATTCAT